TAGCATAATAAGTCCCTTAAGTATGCTGGGGTTACTTTTGGGTACGCTTAGCGTACTTTGCTAGGAGGATCGCGAAGGGACAGCACGTACACTGGGCGTACGTGACAGACATCTAAAACCCTAATTTTCGGATTTGACGCCTATTTAAACATTCTTAAGCCTGTTGGACCTAACCCTAGACAGCCTCCACAACCTTATTTTGCCCTTCTACTCCAAAGAGAGTTTGTGAGATCATTTTTGAGCTTAAAGAGTACGTTTGTGACCATTTTAGTGTCTATTCAAGAAGGAGAAGTTGTCAAGCAAGCTTGGAGTGACATTGGGCTTTAAGAATCTACATCTAGATCACCTTGAGGAGCTTCTGGAGGTATAAAGCTTTGATCTTTCGATCTTATTCATTATATCTAGTTAGGGTTTTATAGTTTTGTCCCTTTTGTTTGTTTTGGATATCCTCTTGTGAGTTGAGCGAATCCAGAGGTTGGAATGGTTAGATCTGAGGTCCTTTGGTCCATTTATTACATAAAAATGAAGTCTTGATGGGTGTTGTGACCTCATGCATGGATTAGGAACCTTAAAAAGGTATTAATGGGGTTGTTAGGAACATATGAGTCATGCAAAGGCATAAAGTTGCCAACTTTATGCCCTACGTCGTCTTAATAAGCTTAGATCTGACTACTGGACGTTAGAAAATCAAGTATTAAGAACTTAATGGAGAAAGTGCTTAACCAGTTAGTACGCTAGGCGTAATCAAGCGTATGAGGCGTGTAAGGCCCAGGGACACAATACGTTACGCATACCAGAGTGGTACGTTAAGCGTACGCACATCAGATGGACTTGGATTTGTTTTTGGCCTTTGAGCTTTTGGGCCTCAATTTGTATTTGGGCCTGGTCTTGTTTTAGGGTTAGGGGGCAGTTTATCTGTTTTGGACCAAAGATGTTATGATTAGGATCTATTGGGCCATGAGGCCCATTAATGACTTTGAATATGAACTTAGGTCCATTAGCTAATAAAGACCTTTTGGGCCTTTAAGAAAGGACTTGGGAATTTAGGTTCCCCATTTAGAGGGTGTTTGATCCTAACATTAGGTAATATTATTATTGTTCAGCACGAGTGTCTATAGATTGTTAGGAGAGCAACCTTTGGATTCTACAGACAAAGGTGAGTCTTCTCACCATACCAATGGGTCTAAGGCACCAAGGCCTTCCCATTTTATGTTATGTTGTACACTAGCATATGTAGAGATATGTGGTATGCTAATGATTATATGTTATTACATGGAAGACCCCGGGGGGAGCTCGTAACAATTGGATATAAGACCATGTGGGGTAGCCCATAGCATTCCTAGGTAAAGACCGTTAGCCCATGGCACCATGATGTAAGACCCTAGGGGATCCCACAACTTCCTTACAGGTTTATGTATGTGTATGTAGTATGTTAGATACTTTTGTGATATTATATGCTAGGTTGATTATGTATGTTATTGCATGAAAGATCCTGAGGGGAAGCCCGTGTCAGTTAGATATAAGACCATGTGGGGTAGCCCATTACACGAAGGTGTAAGACCGTGGGGGGAGCCCATGGTATCCTTACAGGTGTATGTATGCATGAATTATGTGATATGTGTAGCTTTATAGCTTATATGATATGTGTTTTGTGGATTGTGTGTGGGGTATGCTCTAGGGAACTCACAAAGCATTAGCTTACAGGTTGTGGATTTGTTTCAGGTACATCGGATCCCATGGGCAAGGGCGAGGCATGATGGTGAAGCGTGCACTCTCACATATGCATTTTACGAGACACTATGATATTTCTAAATAAAGTTGTAATGAATGTGGATTTGAAAATAATTGTTTTTGAATTTCATGGTTTATGGAAATGTATTTGATTGATTAAAAATTGAAAATTTTCTTTTGAAAATTGGGTCGTTATAGATTTTTTTTGTGAATATATTTCTATAGGACCAATTTTATGTTTTATGTCATTTAAAAAAAATATCACAATAAAATGTTAGCATTTGAAAAATGGTTGGTAGAAAGAGATAAGTTCATAAAAGAACTTTACCTTTTATATATATATATATATATATATATATATATATATATATATATATATATATATATATATATATATATATATATATATATATATAAAAGTTCAAATGAGAACCCCTAAAGATTAAGAACCTAAGAACCTTTAAACTTAAACTACAAAATAAGACCTAGGTTATTTTTCTTGCATCCAAACACAAGCCCTCCATTTATCATCATCAACTACCACCATTGCGACCACCTACCGGCGCCGCTGCCGTTGACTAGCACCGGTTCCGACCATCATCACCATCATATTCCAGCATCATATTTTTGTCTTCATTTTTTTTGGTGAAACACCACCAGATCTGCGTCAAATCTGGTGTGGTTGATGCATTTCAAGTCTAGATCTACTCCACCAACATATCTCATCTACTCCACCATTGATTTTTGCCACCACTGATGTTCAGATCTGTGAACTCTGATGACACATCATCATATTGCATCCATCTTTTTTTCTCTCGATCTCCGAAAGACCACCAGATTTGTTCAAATCTGATCCAGCACCACCTCTACCACCATAAATGTATGTCTGCAACCTCCAAAATCCTTTGTTTTCATCAGATTTGAAGCGGTTCAGGCCAGATCTATGATCTCCGACTTTAGATCTATGATTTCCGACAACAAATCTATAATTTTCGCTTATGGATCTATGATTTATGCCTTCATATCTATGAATTTTGACGAGCTAGATGGACTAGATCTAAGATTGATGTCAACTGCCACCACAACTACTGCCTTGTCGCTCCGGTGTATGCCGCCAATTTAGCTCCATCTTTTTTTCTCTGATCTTTAGTGAAACAACACCATATTTGAATCAGGTATGTTGACATTTGTTTTTTTTTTCTTTCTTTTAAGTTGTCAATTTAATATTCTAATCTCTTATTTATTTTTTACTTTTGTTAAACATTGTTTTTTTTCTACAATTAAGTTGTTAATCCATGTTTATTATGTTTTTTTATAATGTTTGCATCAAGCTTTTATTCACTTTATGTTTTATTTTTGTTAAGTTGTGAATTGAATTTAAAATGTGTGTTATTATGTTAGTGTTTTCTCAAATAATATGAATTTTAATTTTTTAAGCTTTGGACTGTGATGTTCTAATGTTTCAACTATTGTTTAGTTCAATTTAAGTTTATTACTGTGAATGCGTGAATTAATATGTTTTTATGTTATAAATAAATGAATGAGAGTCCTAAACTGATTATTAAATTGTGAAGGAAAGTTCTAAAAAGATCTATTAAACTGTGAATTTATATGGTGCACACAATTTATTTGATGAATTTTGAATACTATACTGGGAATTATGTATTACATTGTAAACTTTATTCCCGACTTAATATATTAAGTTTACAATTTAATACATATAAATATCTTCATATATTAACGTCTAAATATAAGTTTTAATTTGAAAATGTGACTGTAAATATAATTTTTTTTTTTTTGTCTTAAATTGTGAATTTAATATATTTAACTGTAAAATTTGTTTATTAAATTGTGAATTGTCTGTATTAAGAATATTAAATTGATATTATTGTTGTAAATTTATAGTTTTTGTATTAAACTGTAAATTTATTGTAATAAACTATGAATTTTACGTATTAAGTTATGATTTTTGTATTTTAAACTTTGAATGAAGTGTATTAAGCTTTGAATACTTATTTAAATTGTGAAATTAACTATATTAACCTGTGAATTTTTTATATTAAACTGTGATTTTTATGTTTAAAAATGTGAATTGACTGTATTAAATTATGAATTTTCTGTTTAAACTGTGAAGTGGTTGTATTTTGCTATGAATTTTTTTATAATTGTGTTAAAATATGAATTATTTATGAATAAATTTTTGTGTTAATTTTCATATGAATATATTGATTTTTTTGTTGAATAAATTTGTAAGAATCTACTAGGTTTTATAATTGTTTTGCATTAAATTCAAAACGAGTGAATTAATAGGTTTTATTAGACTGTTAATATAGTATTTAAGTTGTTAATACATGATTTTATTACAGAGCTGATTTGAAAGAAATGACGGCTACTATGTTGATACAAATGGTTGGTGGCATCATGTGTGTTAGAGTTTGAGTTTTTAACTTCTATGAATTAGTGAATTATTGTAAAACAGTTTATATTAAGTGATGAATTTTTTGTATTAAACTGTAAATGGACTGGTAAATCTGTATTTTATATAAGTTTTATGTGAAAATATAAAAGCATATACGGATGAAAATATTAGACTGTAAAAATTATAAGTTTGCTTTTTTCATACAAAAAACACAAAAAAATAGGATTTTAACAAGTTTAATAAAAATATTATGTAAATATTTAGTAATTAATTGAGCTCTTAGAATTTTTAATATTTTATAGTTTTCATTTGAACCACTTTTTCTCTCTCACTCTCTCTCTCTCTCTCTCTCTCTCTCTATATATATATATATATATATATATATATATATATATATATATATATATATATATATATATATTAAACTTTCATATCACAATAATCACACAGACACTGTAATAATTAATGCTAAATACTTTTTTTGAAAGTGCTAATCCCATACGCCAACTCTTGCAAGTGGAGCAACTTGCGTAAGTGGGTTGAACTCATTGGAGTGGTTATATGATTTATGTCAGCCACAAACGACTACAAACAAGAAAATTACACTCTTTGTGTTTAAAGAACAAACTTTATTAGATATATATGCATTTAAGTAATAATTAAATTTTGAAATACATATTAATAAGACAAAATTTTTAATTCCTTATAGATTAATGATTATGATAATCCGTCTGCTTACAATGACTAAACGACATTAAAAAGTTTGTTTCCAAACAACAATTCAAAATATAGATTATTTGTATGTTTTGTTGAGAAGATATGACCTGGTGCTTCCGTATTAATTATTAAATAAAATAAAACAAACAAATTTGGAAAATAAAACTTTTTAATAGAGAACTTAAAAAAGAAGCTCATTCTTCTTTTTTCTTAAAGAGGAAAGGAACATGACAAAAAAAGTGTCACAGGTCTCTGTCCAAACTTTCATTTCCAATATTCATGACACGATAAAGATATGATTATCTACCATATAAGATCACTCAGGACAATAAAAAATCACTCCATATAACTCATTTATGTGGTGAGTGAGTTCTGATTATTTATGTTGTAAGAAAACCGAAAGATGAACTCCAAAACTAAGAGCCTGGGCTCGATGTATGGGATGCAACAGCATCAGATTAACATTAGTATGGGAATGGCTTCATTGGATCTCCCACCGCCGCCACTACCATTGAATCTACCTCGTTCAGATCTACTTGTTGGTAAGTTTTCCAACCAATCTTTACCAGATCTATGTCTATAACACCTAATTTTGGAATATTGAAATCACTTTGAAGGAAGAAGAGAAGATTACAACGAGATTTGTGTTCCTACGTATAAAGCAACAATAACCGGTGATTGGAAAGCAGCCAAACTCATTCTTGACAAACGCCCGGAGCTTGTAAGGTTTAGCATCACCGAAAGTTATGATACTGTTCTTCACATTGCTGTAATGGGGAAGTCATACTGGTTTGTGGAATATCTGGTGAGTTTGATGGAAAAGGAGGACTTAGAACTTCAAAATAAAAACGGTGAAACTGCTCTCTGTTTAGCAGCCATATCTGGACATGTGAAGATAGCTAGTATTTTGGTGAGGAAGAACAAGGCCCTAGTGGAGATTCCTGATAGTCGGGGAATGATGCCACTTTACATGGCTGCTCTATTTGGAAAGCATGAAATGGTGAGGTATCTTTATCAAAGTTCCCGGAAGATGACTGGTGATTTCTGGACAAATCATCATAGAAGTTGTGTTCTTGTGAAATGTGTTGAGGCTAATCTATTTGGTAAGTATCTCGATTCTTGACACCTAATTAACTATTGATTTATTGCTTGTTGTTCTATTATAATATGTGGTTATATATATATATATATATATATATATATATATATATATATATATATATATATATATATATATATATATATATATATATATATATATATATATTGTGAGTTTAACTTCATATTAAGGATTAACGATAATTTGAGTGATTACTTTGCCAACAATTTTTGTACCTACTACCTGAAACTTCTTTTTCACAAGGTTTGACTATCCAATCCTCAATTATGTTTTGTAGTTGTGAAATTCTGTATTTTTTGTACGGTTGTTATAAATTTTTTGCATTTTATTATCACGGAATCACATGTCGACGTACATATTATAATATGACATGTGGACCAATGTTATCAATGATATGATAAGTTTATTCAAGCCTTTATTTAACATCTTTTCAAATATTTAAAAGGTTCTTCAACTTGTTAAACTTTTTTTTTTCAATACAGTTATTGAGACGATAAGTTTTCATGTGTATCCTTATATTTTGTTTTTATATATATTCTTTTCAGATTTCATTTTTATAATTTTATTTTTTACTTTGTTTTTACAGGTTTTTTCAAAATTTATTTTCATAACTTCATAGTTCATATATTTACTTGAATGAATTTTTTTCATCACAATTCGTTTTCTTAAATCTTTTTATTTCCTTCTCACATGTTTTTTCAAATTTTTTTTCACAATCAATTTTTACAACTTCAGTTTTACAATTAAAAATAATAGAATTGTACAAATAAAATAAAACAAAAAAAATGTAAAATACGATTGTAAAATATATAAACATAAAATAAAAAAATAAAATTATAAAACAGATTATTAAAAAACATATAAAAACGAATTGTGAAGTAACATAAAGCTGGAAATAAAATCAATAAATTAAAAACAAACACATTAAAAACAAAAAGAAAAATTGTTGTTCAATCATGAATATTCACATTACGTGAACTCTTAAAACTCACATAAATTCTATAAATCAAAATGCAACTACCCTGTTTCTCATAATTCTAACCCTAAAATGATTAATAATTGAGTGACAAAATAATTAACTAATTAGTGAAACTAAAACTTTAATAATAACACATAATAATGACAATAAATAAAAAGCCCAAAGTAGCTCTAAATTAATTACTAAGTTAATCACCAAAGCGCCAATAACCTAGCGGTATGAAGTCATCATCTCATATTAGAGGTCAGGGGTTCAAGTCTCGATGGAGACATATGTGGCCCACCACAAATTAAACACATCAATTTAGTTCCGATTAGGCCCACCACTTGAATGGCAACATCAAATCATCAAGGGGACCAAATATATCACTTTTCCTTATTAGGAAAAAGGAATGAATGAACTGTGACTATATAATCATACCTTTTACTCATCATGTCATACATAGAATTACATTTTATGACATCCAGTTACATAAAATTAGGAAAAAGGAATGAATGAATCTGTGACCAAATATATCACTTTTCCTTATTAGGAAAAAGGAATGAATGAACTGTGACTATATAATCATACCTTTTACTCATCATGTCATACATAGAATTACGTTTTATGACATCCAGTTATAGATGTGTTGATGTAAATCCAATGCACAACAAATTTGCAAACTATGACTTATATATCTGTGTTTTAATAATAAAAGATATTATCATCTTAGAATTACTCTTGATTCAATCCATGTAGTAATCTCTAAGTGTTTGTTTAACCAATACTCAAATCCTCATTCTCTAAGTACTCATGAATATTGCAGTAATCCTTATATAATGTCCAATTACAATGGATAATCTACAAATATTCCATGACAACCATAAACCAATTCCTACTGCCTAAAGTATGACTGCTTGTGGCATTTCAAATAAAATAATATCTAGGAAGTAAAACATGTAGTGTGAAACACAAGAATAAACAAATAAAAAGATTGTAGTTAAACTAAAAAATAACTCCATATTATTTAATCTCCAAAAACAAGTACAATTTATTAATGTTACATTGTTTCAAAACTATCATCTAACCACTAAAATTTAGAGTCTAATATCATTTTTTAGTCAATGCTCATAGCATGCTCGAAGTGCTTGATCTTGCATAAAACCTTTGTGAGAGGATCGACATGATTCTCCTATGATAATACATGATTCACCATGGGTCTATCTTCTTCAACTTGATGTCAGATATAATGTATTTTCTTTCGATGTTCCTTGATCTGATATGATCCTTTGGTTGTTTTTTCAAATCAATTGTACCTTCGTTTTCGTAGAAAATCTCTATGCGCTCTTGGATTAGTGAAATAACTCCAAGGTCACCAATGAAATTCTTTAACCATTCTGCTTTATTTTTCACCTCGCTTCTACGATGTACTTTGATTCACAAGTAGAATCAACAATCATTTGCTTCTTGGAACTCTTCAAAGTTATTGCTCCACCATTCAATAGGAATACCCATCCAAATTGTGAATATCAGATATACCGATACATTTGAAAACTAGCATCACTATAACCACTCATTTTAAGTTCATATTTTCCACCAAAAACTAAGATCATAACTTTTTTCAACGTAGTCTAATGAGTTGCTCCATGATTTCCCCGATACCTGCTAAACAATCTCAAAGCATAAGTTACATCAAGTCAAGTACATGTCATAAAATACATGATCGATCATATATCCAAAGTATATGTTACTAGATTAATTGCATCTATTTCCTTATCACTATTGATACATTAAGCCTTTCTCAAATTTACAGTATGATGCATGGGTAAATCCCTTTTCATGGAATTTTCCATATTGAACCGTTTCAATATTTTATCCAAGTAAGTACTATTGCTAAGACCTAAGAAACGCCTCTTTTTATCCTTGTATATCCTTATTCCAAGAATGTATGTTGCCTCACCCAGATCCTTCATAGCAAACCATTTTCTAAGCCAATACTTCACTTCTTGCAATGTTGGAACATTTTTTCATATTAGGAGCATGTCATTAATATACAAAACTAGAAAGGTCACTACAATCCCACTAGCTTTAACATACAAACATAACTCATCCTCTCTTCTAAACAATCCAAACTCTTTGATCTTATCATTGAAGCAAAGATTCTAACTACAAGATTCTTATTTAAGTCTATATATAGACTTCCCAAGCTTGCACATGTTATTAGGGAATTTGGCATGTTCAAAACCTCAGTCAGTTTACCATGAAGGAAAGCAGTTTTAACATTTATTTTCCATACTTCATAGTCATGAAAAGCATCAATGGTAAGAATTACCCTAATTGACTTGATCTTGTCAAGTGGCGAAAAGGTCTCATCATAGTCAACCACTTATGTTTAAGTAAAGCCTTTTGCAACCAATATGAATTTGAAAGTATGTACATTACCATCCAACTCGGTCTTTTTTCTTTAATATCCATTTACATCTTACTATCATTCAACCAGGTGTATGATCAACCAAGGTCCATACTTCGTTATTATACATGGATTGGATGTCGTTATCTATTGCCTCTTTTCATTTAGCAGCCTTTGGTCCTACCATTGCTTCCTTGTGGTTAGTTGACTCATCCTACTTTACCAGTGTGTTATCATTGATAAACGTGTCCCCACCTGCCGTTGTATGGAAATCATAAAATGATGGTGGCATGCTAACTCTACCGAATTAACAAAGAGGTAATGTTTTTTCAATGGGCTCACCTCCTTGAGTTAAGATCTAGTGTCATCTATGGTTCAATCATCTGATAAATCTTGAATTTCTTCAAGATTAATTTCACTCCCATGGTACTCTTTGGATAAGAGTTCTCTTTCATGAAATACCATTCTTTAACCTACAAATAACACATTATCAGAAAGTCCGTAGAACAAGTATCTAAACAACTTTTATGGATAACCAATAAAAATACACCTCTCGACTCTAAGTTCCTATTTATCTTGGGTATCACATCTAATGGGAGCCTCACCAACCCAGAACTTGATATGTGCGAGCGAGGGATGTTTCCATGCCCACATTTCATTAGGTCTTTTGGAAACCTTCATGGTAGGAATAAAATTAAGGATATGGGCGGCTATCTTTAAGGCGTACCCCCAAAATTATATAGGGAATGAAGCTTCACTCATTATGGAACAAACCATTTTAATAAATGTTTGATTTCGACTCTCAGTTGTACAATTAAGTTGTAGTGTCATATGAGGGTCAATTGTGAAACAATTCTACATTCCTTAAGACAGTCGTTGAACACGATACTAAGATACTCTCCACCTATCTCAGATCTGATCACCTTTATCTTGGCCAATTGATTTTCTACCTCGTCCTTAAACACTTTTCACTTGTCAAAGTTGTCTAATTTATGCTTGATTAAGTTGATATAGCCATATCTATAATAATCATCAGTAAACGTCATGTACTAATGATCAACATCCCTTGTGAAGGATCTGAAAGGACCAAATACATTAGTATGGTTGAGGTGTAAAAATCCTTAACATCTTTCACAAGATCTAGTGAAAGGTGACTTAGTCATCTTGCCTAATAAATAAGATTCGCATTCATCATCTTATTTTAGGACAAACAATTCCAACACTTTGTTCTTTTAGAGTTGGGCAATGTGTTTCTTGTTTATATGACATAGATGAAGATTCTATAAGCATGTCTTGTCTAAACCACTATAAGAATAAATGCTAAAACAGTGTTTCTAAGTTCATTCACACACACAAATACACGCCATTACAAGGATAAGCTTTGAAAATAAAAACAACATGTTTATAATCCAAGATTGCATCATCATTATTCACACACATATAACGATAACCTTGTATAAATAAAAGGTGAAAGGAAATTATGTTTCATTTCATTTTGACAAATAAGAAAAATTGTTAAATCAGTCCTAACACTATCATCAAACACAAACTCGACGTCTTCACATTCCCTTAGTCCCTGAATATCAGAACAAATGTAGAAACCACATTTTGTATC